TGACGAAAATTGCATTGAATTGCGTGATAGAAGTCACCTGTGTTACAAATCAATCATTAACTATGACCTCGATATAACGAACATTTTTGTCGTTTCCCCTCAAATTCGTTATATCGAGGTTTTCGATATAACGAACCCCCGATTTAACGAACAAATTTGGCCGGTCCCCAGCGACTTCGGTAAATCGAGGTTCCACTGTAACTGATGTCATGCCGTATTCTAGGAATTTATTCAATTTATAAAATAATGTATTGCATGTAAAGGTTTTTTTTTATGATTACTTTCAAATTGCAGTCATGTGAGCATGTTTTAGTATATATGTCCTTTCCATGGAAAAAGGAGAGTAACAGATTCAACTGCATACATAAATATGCACAAAAGATCAAGGCCATTCTAAATATCCAACCTTGTAACCCATCAAATATTTTGCTTGCACGCGATTGGTCTAAACGCGTCAGATGACCGAATATTCCCAAACTAAAACTGGGGAATATCCGAGAATATTTCCCAATTTTCAAAACTGCGCATGTTGCGAAAAATATTTGAAGGATACAATAGCCTCCATTTGACTTTGAAAATATGCTCGCATATTTGTCTTTGGACATTATCTGTTCCTCAAAGCTCACAGTTTTCCTCGAGCTATGCTCTTGGAAAACTGTTTGCATCTCGGAGCAGATAATGTCCGTGGACAAATATCTGAGCATATTTTCAAATGGGGACTATTTTTTATGTATCTTGACCGCACAAGCTAGGGGAATAGAGAATTTATTATTGGGTGCACATGTACGGGACACCATCAGTTTGCACGATGCAGTGAATACCCTTAGGAAATCTAGCTCAAGTAGCCAATGATTAGGCAGTTTATATGAAGACTTGTGGATTTGTACATGCATGTGCAAACTTGTAATAAATTGGTCAAGGATTAAGTCATCTGATTCAGTGCCATTTCTTAAGTGGAAGGGCAAGTTTTAAACCACACAGATTTTAACTTCTAAACTGAACATTTCAATGTGAAGCCAAGATTCATATATTTATTTTTCTCTAGGCAAGAGCATTTAATAACAGACAGTACATCATGGAAGAAGCCATTACTGGAGACTTCGCTCTCATAAAAGCTTGGAAAGCTGACAAGGCGGGAAATCTCACTTTCAGGTGAAAGCTTTCATATGTTACTTAATATAAAATATATTTTTTTCAATTCAGTGTTAAAAGTGAAACTATAATTATGAGTGTGTTAAAAATAATTCTTTCAGAAAAACAGCTAGGAATTTTAATGCACCAATGGGGAAAGCAGCAAAATTCACTATAGCTGAGGTAATAGTCATATTATTGTTATAATATTGTTAGCATTGAAAGTATCTCAGATCCTTTTTTGGAGTGAGTTTTTCAGTTCAAAATTTTAATTTGCATTGCTGTAAGACTTTACTATAGAGGTCAACCAAATGCCCATGGATTAGCTGATGAAATTAGAAACATTAAAAGTCAGGTGCAGTTGAATGAATCGTTTTGAACCATTAACTTTCCAACCTGGTGCTATGACTAAAGTTTGTATACTTTTTAATTGGTAGTTACAAATTTTTTTATTTCAAAAATTGGTGAATTTCTGTATTGAATCCAAATAACATAAAATGTGTTGTATATATTCAGAGCCTTGTTACTGAATGGTTCACTTATCAAAGATATGTCATGAAAACCCTTGCCTCCAAGGTTGAAGAAATTGTAGAAAATGGTGAAATCCCAGAGGAAGATGTGCATCTGCCTGGAGTTTATGTGAAAGGAGTATTGAAAGGTTCTCAGTATCAGAAACGAATCGAGGTAAGTTAGCTCGCATGGGTCCGTCAGGGTGAAATATAGCATATTGCATTGTCAGTAGTTTTTTAATTGAAAATGTTTAAAAAGGAACAATTGGTTGGTTCGTCAGTCAGTTATATAGAAGTTAATTGATAGGGTTTGTTGTTAGAATCTTAATAGCTTTATATGAAAGCAAGTAATCAATTTAATATTTGTTGCCTTATGCGCCTTCTTGCTCGAAGGCAAACATTGGTGGGTAAGCTCGCTCTCTGTTTCATTGCCTTTGATATTTGACTCGGAGTTTCACCCTTGCACTATTTGTTCGTATAAACTTCCAGCTAACCGGGTGATTATTGGTAAACAACCAACGATGACATCCTTGTCCAATACTGTCGAACAAATATGACCCGTGAATGGCTGAACACGACTCGTATGACTCATACAACCTATTATGGTTTACCAGTCACACAGTTGGTGAACTGCATAAATAATTATATACGAATGATAACGGAGACAAACATGCTAATGCATGTTCCCCGTTCTAAAAACGTGAATGCCTCAAAGCGCAAAATGTGATGAATATTCTTCATTCTCAAAGCGTGAGAGCCCAATAGCGCTTTATACAGTGTATACTCTTCGGGGTCCTAAAGCGGGTGAGTCCAAAAGCGCTAATTAGAATGTATATTCCTTGTTCCATTTTTCAATTTGTTACGTCAGAATGTTGTCGATATCCAAAATCGACCGTTGTACAGAAAGGTCCATCCTAGTTCTACTATCTGCTTATCAAGAATATCTGGTGACATTTAAATTGATGACGTCACAAGTGGTACAAAGTGCACGACCATTAATTACGCGTATATGTGTAATAAGGGCTCAAAGTGTTAAGCGGACACCCTCCATTAATATTAAGCGGACACCAGCTTAAGTCCCTAAATTTTCTTCCCACATCTACTGTAAAATAAACCTACATTGAGTGGAAACCTCTGAAGCGGATGCGGACACCATTATTAGGCCATTTTGTTGCACAAAACCTGCAATAAGCGGACACTTCAAGGGCATTTTACCTCTAAAAGTTCAGCTGGGACTCCCTTAACGTTGTTCAGGGATGTCGTTTTAAAGCTAAGTGATTATTCCAGATTGATGCATTGACTGACTGGACATTGTGCTATCAGCAGTCTTTGATCTCACACTGTGTTACACTGTGTTACAAAAGGGTTAATAATTAAGAGTGTGTTCATGAGAAAACCAGGCAGGAGGTGATACAGCTCAAATCACGGATTTCGCTCAAACTTGGCACAAATGTTGGGTTTGGTGAGGGCTATCTTTAAAACGGGGAACGGGGAATAGGTGAATGGGAATGGCGGACGGGGAACGGGGAATCTTTAAAATGGGGAATCTTTAAAAGTGGGAATCTTTAAAATGGAGAATCTTTAAAAGCGGGAAT